CGGAGACTTGCCACGGTTTCCAACCCTCCTCCTTTCTCATCCGGGCTTGGGACCGGCCATGGCGGAGTTACTGGATTGGAGACTTACAGGATTAAATGAGGCATAACTGAAAGCTCAAAAATTTTAATTCTGGCGACTTAAAATCGTTTCGTGGTACATTCACACATGGTTTACAGCTTACTACAACGTAATATAACTGACGGGTTGGGTTGTTGAGAAGCTTCTTCGCGAAAGTGACCGTTATGCTGCTAATGTCCGTCGCAACTGTCGCTGCGATTCTTTGATACAACAGGCCCTTGCTTTAGCGGAAAGCTTCGACCAACTTCCGCATACGGGTACCTCATACGAGATAGAGGCTGCATATAAAAGCTACCAACAAAACCCATTATTTTGCCGCAATTTTAGAACGTAGAAAAACATCTTTTGCACGTTAGTCGCAGTATACTGAACGTCATTTCACGATGTTAAGCATACATTAAGATATAGTTAAATAGAGAAAATATGTCCGCTTTTCACGAATGAAACAATCAACTACATGGCTCCGCTGTCACGTCTTGAAGCACGCAGAATGTGTCCTAGACGGCTTTGAAATGCTTATTGCCACTTTCTGACTTTCAACTTTATCTCATTCAAAAACTGACCAACTTTGTTATCTTTTCACCTCCACGAAGTCAGCAGACGGGCCCGCTTTCCTTTGCAACTGTCACTATCACCGCAGTGTCGTCAACATACTTTAAGCAAATGCGAGGCGGACTAATTTAGCAGTCAGCCACGTATGTGGAAAAAACAGTGAAAAGAATCTACCCTTTGGAGATACGCAGATGGTACGCTACCGAAGTCGATTAGGTAGCACTATGATGAAGACTGCTGATAAGTGCTGAATGGCGCATCTCACTGTACTTCTCCTTTTTACTATTTCTATATTTGCGATTATTAATCGCTGTTCTATTCTCAGTTGTTCTGGATATCCTCACCCTATCGCGGGGTATGGAACCTAATAAATCGGTCAATCAACGCTCATTCAAATGACTTAACTTTGACCTAGAATCTCACTTTAGAAAATATGCGGCTAATATATTTTGTCTACCTTAAGTACACCCATTATATTTCCCTTATAAGTAGTACGCAAAGCACTACAAACCAGAGACATTCTGCTTACGTAAACGGTAAGGGGTGGTTATCTTAACAAACACACGAAATATCGTTATTATTTCACTAGTTTAATGTATGTTTCCATTATTAAGTAAAATTACTTTGCTTATGCTACAGTAACAATCGCAGGTAGAAATGATCTACTGTGTTATTGTTTGAGTTTCAGAAATGTTGAAAGTGAGGGTATATCGTTCAAAAATGTATAAACTATTGTGTAAGTTATGAAAATTTGCGGTGATCCCGTTAGTAAAGACTGCAGTAGTAACCAAAAGTATTCGTATGATGTCGCTAGGCGATGATCGGTAACGCTTTCTTCTCTTAGGATTGCGTTGATGGCCGCCGAGGCGAAGGCGCAGCATCCCACCTCAGGCCAGCATGAAATCAACTGGATTTTCAGTGTCGAACGCTTGGCGGATGCGCCGAGCATTCGCGAAGGTCTTTCGGCTGAACAGGAGCTTTTCTACAGGCAACAGAGCGCCAACCATATTCAAGAAATGGGCAGCAAGCTAACTCTGTAAGAGCAATCGCTTCGTAGGTTATACTTCATGAGCTACGTAACGCAACTTTCAAGGTGAACCAGGTTTTTGTTAATTTAATTCATTTAATAGAAAAGATGACCATGTTTATTATAATTGAAGTTAAATTAACATAAAAACGGTATAAAAGGAAGTACTAATGAACACACGAGTAACAGTTTTTAAATTTGCTGTCGAGTTAGCGAATTTGTACTGTTCACGTAAGTTAAGTCGAAAATAGTGAAGTAAGATGGATGACTAGTCTTCCGAGTAGTTATATTAACTTGTTTAGGTAAAATAAATTATTCGTAACCGGGCAATTTTTGTCCTAAAAAATATATCAGGTCTGGCGTTTCGTTTATCAGCGTAGATTATTATCATCATAGATTTGCACGTGTAATTGACCTTTAGTGTATTTTATTCTAAAAACTTTAGAAACTACGAAAATTTTAGTTTTTGAATTTATGGTCAACGTTCGAATGTCACCGAACCTGACTAAATGCAAGAATATGAGTATATGGGTTAACAGTTATGTAATTGTTGTGGATAAATCTTGTCCTAAAGGCATATTCTTAAGTAAAAGTTGAATTTCGATACGTAGAAAGAGTGAGAGAAACGGAAATACTGATATGACGTCTTTATGCGACTTAAGTTAATGGTTTTTGATTTACAAGTACGTAGAAGAAGGGTATGTTTGTGCCGTCATAATTTCGTATTTCATCAGCTTATTTGTATCTGCGTGCAAATTCTCATTAGTTTTAGAAAGTTCATTGAGCGTAACGGTAACAAGAAAGTAGGTTTTGAAATCATTAAATATAGACACAAATAGATTTTTTGTAAACAAATAAAATTTGTTTCTTGTGAAGCTCGTAGGAAAGCTGAAAATAACTTAAACAACAATAACACTCTGAGTGGTGTCCGCCTAAATTCAAAGGATTAATTAATACAAAATTTTTGGAACCTTGAGAACAAGTAATTTTGTGTGTTATCTGGTTCGCCACTACGTGCTATTACGGGGAACACCGTTCTAACGTTTTCGGCTTACTTCCGTTTAGTACTTTACTCTTGCATTTTGTTTCTTTCATATATTATGTCCTCACAAGCGTAAGATATGGAAGTTTTTTTCAATTTTGTACCTTGGGTCCCTCTGTTACGCAATCGTTATTTAATATGCACACATTTTATATATTTTTCGGAATTCGAGCAGTGAATTTTCAACGTTAGCCTTAGACCATGTACATAGCGTTGAAGAATATCGGGGTTTTCGACTGCTTTTAAATGATGGTTTGTTTGCCCTCACTTCGACCTTTGAAAATGTAAAAATATATTTGTAGGGTACAGTCTTTAAATCTTTACCAGTAAGTTTTAAATATACAGTCTTCGTCCGCTTAGTCTTGCAAAATCTTGCAATCGGAGCGAACGCCAATCAGTTTTGCTGCTTGAATAAAATCATCGAGATATATCTTTAGTGAAAACATCCTGTTGTATAAAGCAAGAAAACAATCGATGAATTCTCATGGAGGGGTGCGGGCAAACGGATTCTTATGTAGGTACTCTGCAGCTATAATGAGGATATCTAGATACTTTAGAGATAATTTTTCGAAGTAAAAGGTTGTTTAAATTTTTTAAATTAAGTCTTTGAAGTTTACCAGTTTAAACTTTTACAAGTTTTCGAAAAAAGTACTTTCTATCATGAACAAAAGATGTAAGTATTTTTGAAAGAAATAAATTTTTAATGACAGAATACTTTAAACATGAAAGTAGGTTTTCGAAGTACATTGAAAGTAGATGAATGTACTGTTTATTTTATTTTCCTGTAGGCCAAATTTTATTGTGGCTACATGTGCGTTCTTCTGTCTGCAAGCAAGTATGATGAGGGTACTTTGAATTTACAAATGTTTGCTTTTGAAGTAGGTTCCTTGTATCGTTGTATGCACATTCTGCAGTTTATACCTATATATCTATGCCTGTACTTTCTCGAGGAGTGAAGAGAATGCGTTGACGTATTTTATTCCTATTACGGTAGGTTTTCGATGAAGATATAAGCATATATTATGAAGATATTTTATACTTCCGTTTTTTATTCATTCTGCTTATCTGTAGTTGCATGTACTCTCTTGTGCGCCTTTTGTACTTCATGAACTTGTGTACTTTTGTATCTGAGAGGTCATTGAGCTCTTTTTTGTATCTGTAAATGTGGTTTGCAATATAGGTACAAGAACGGTAATCTAGACATATAATAAAAGTTATTCGTAGTAGGTATAAGAATGTATAATAGCTGTAACTTTTTTGTTTACAACTTGAACTGCAGCCCATTCAAGTAGAATGGCCTTAAATTCTAATATTACTTATCCAAAAGGCCATATTGTTTCGGTCGTTCGCAAGTTAACGACGTGCTATCCATTTATCGATTGACTGACCAAAGCAACATGAGATTAACTCCTTTCTCAATGAAATTAGTGATTTTTGGAGAATTAGAGAATGTTTTTCTGAGTTTCAACCCCACGCATTCAGAATTCGAAGCCAACTTTTTGCCACTGTGCCGCCACTGCGTTCTCACTGCTTTTTGTCCAGTTCACCGTGATATTCGCATGTCAGTGAATGGGAACGCCAAGGCGCTATCTGTAAATATCCGTACAGTGAGAGTACCTTGAATATATAAAATTGGGTTGCGTAACAAAGCACTGTTGACTATTTCACTGTACCCTTTTCGTAATTCCTCGAAGATTCATAATTATGTTCTTTGTACCTTTTTATGCATTTTCTCACTTTCTGTTGTTTATATATACCTGTAATTTTTATTACTTTAAACCAGTGGCGTATTTTGTACATGTAAAGTATAAGAACATATAAGAGTACGAACAGGAAGTACATTGAGCATACATTTTACATTCTATACTCACCTATACCGTTTACTTCCTATTTATCTATACGTTCTCGTACCTGTATGAAGAGACAGCACGGATGGTATTTTCAACTGTTGCAGTATGTACAGTAAAGTTACATTGAATCAGTGCAATCCAAGTTTTCGAAACAGTAAGTAGCATATAATTAGGTTTACTATTTTTTCTTAATTATTCTTAGAAAAATTTACTACTAAATATATCACGTTTCTCTTATGCCTCATGTGACCAATAAGTCAGATGTAGCGGTTTTGTTTATACTCTATAATATTATTTGCTTATTTTACAGTGTTTTCATTTGTTGCTTAATTTTAGCATATTTGGTTTATATGAATATTGAAAACGCCAATTCTTTGGTGAAAGGCGAATAGCACTAAAGATG